GAAGGGGCTGAGGACAGTAAAGTCATGCTCTTCTAAAGTCTTCATATATATATATATATGTATGTACATATATATATATATGTACGTACATATATATATGTATGTACATATATATATGTATGTACATATATATATGTACGTACATATATATATATGTATGTACATATATATATATGTACGTACATATATATATATATGGTCCTAAACTGACGGGGGAAGGCACATAGGGGCTTATGCAGTGTACATTCAGCTCCCAGCTCAATATCTAGCCAATATCAGATGCTCAGTAAATATTTAGTCAGAGAATAAATAAAAATGCCTTCAATATAAAGTCTCAACCTATGGTTTCCGGGAACATGCCATCCTGGGAAGGAGGAATTTGGTTTTACTGAAATCAAAATATGAAGACTAATCCATAATGGCAATTCCCTAGTCTTCTGGGTAAGTAAATTTGAGCTTGGAGAACCCAGAGAGAGACAGTCTGTTAAGGAAAACCCAATTATACTGAGGAACATATGTTGCCCTGAGGCCTCTGCTACCATAACAACATCACGTAACTATAACTACAGCCCCGAGGGCTCTGGCCCTGTCAAATATGGAAAAGGATGTCTTCATCCTAAAACAGCTTTGTGCTCAGATTGACTCCCCTAGAGGGCTTGGATCAGGGAAGTGAGGTAGATAAGTGGAGGAAAAGGGGAGATGAAGGGTAGGGGTGGGAAAATAACTGTTATTGAAATAGGATAGTGAATTTTTAAAAAGCAATTTTCAAAATGTGGTTATTTGACTGTTTAGCTTTGGTGGTTATTTATAACCCCAACTGGAGAGGCCAGGAACTGTGCCTGAGCCTGCTGAGATCTGTCCAATAATTTCCTCCAGGGTCGGATGGGGGTCAGGGGCAAAGGGTGATTCCAGAACCAAATTAACAAATGTCCCAACAGTAAGAAGAACCCCAGGCCATCTCCTATAAGAGAGAGAAAGAAAAAAAAGCCCATTAGAGATTGTTACAACATTATTTTTAAGGTGCTACAAATAATTTTTTTTTTTTTTGCCAGTCCTGGGGCTTGAACTCAGGGCTTGGGCAGTATCCCTGAGCTTCCTTTGCTCAAGGCTAACACTCTACCACTTTGACCCACAGAGCTACTTCTGGCTTTTTCTGTTTATATGGTACTGAGGAATCGAACCCAGGGCTTCATGAATACTAGGGAAGCACTCTACCACTAAGCATATTCCCAGCCATGAAAAGATTTTAATATGAATTCTGCCTGCATCATAATCTTTGAAACTGTCCCATGGGACAGAGACATACCAGAAGTTAGGGGATGCACTTGGCTATGCTAACTAATATTGTTTAATAAAGGTCAAGCCAGGTATGGTGACTCACCTATAATCCTAGTAACTCAGGAGGCTAAGACCTGACAATGATGATTCAAAGCCAGCCTGGTCAGTAAAGTCCATGAGATTCTAATCTTCAGTTAGGCACCAAAAAGATGGAAGTAGAGCTGTAGCTCAAGTGATAGAGCCCTTGTCTTGAGAGAAAAAGCTAAAGGACAGTGCCTAGGACTTGAATTCAAGTCCCAATACTGGCACACACCAAAAAAGGTCCAAGCATGCTTACTTCATAAAGACAGTTTATCTGCACACAAAGTAAATGTCTGTCCTTAACCTTGCCTAGGCACAAAACTGGACAGAAAAAGAGGATTGAATTCCCCAGTACTGGAAAGGGGAGGATGTAAGGGCTGCAGGGGTAATTATTAAAAGAAAGGCTTAGAGAAAAGAGCATGGCTGAGTCCTTGTCTTTCCTGAGGCAACATCTTGCAAAATGAGATAGAGAAGATTAAATTTAGTGACATACCACTTACTAAAATCCTAGGCAGAAGGGAGAAGGTGAGGGTAATGTGGTCAACTAGACAAGGCTCCCTTCCAGAGCATCCTGTACTTTTTTTTTTTTTTTATCGGTTGTGGGGCTTGAACTCTGAGCCTGGGTGCTGTCCCTGAGCTCCTGAGTTCTTCAGCTCAAGGCTAGCACTCTACCACTTTGAGCCACAGATCCACTTCCAGTTTTTGAGTGGGAGATAAGAGTCTCACAGGACGGCTGGGAAGGTGGCTCAGTGGTATGAGTCCTTGCCTTGCATGCATGAGGCCCTGGGTTTGATTCTTTAGTACCAAATAAGCAAAAAAATCTGGCAGTGGCTCTGTGGCTCAAGTGGTAGTGTGCTAGCCTTGAGCTGAAGAGCTGAGAGGCAGCACCCAGGCCCAGAGTTCAAGATCCACGACTGAAAAAAATTAAGTAAGTAAGTAAATAAATAAATAAATGAAAAGAGTCTTACAGGGACTTTTCTGCCCAGGCTGGCTTTGAATTGCGATCCTCAGATCTGTCTCCTGAGTAGCTAGGATTATAGGCGTGAGCCACTGTAGCCTAGATAATCTTTTAGGCAGCTTACAAACATAACTGAAGAGGTATGACACAGGAACTGGGAAGGTGGCTCAGTGGTAGAGCACTTGCCTTGCAAGCCTGAGGCCCTGAGTTCGATTCCTCAGCACTACATAAGCAAAAAGAAAAAAAGCCAGAAGTGGCACTGTGGCTCAAGTGGTAGAGCGCTAGCCTTGAGCTGAAGAGCTGAGGGACAGCACCAAGGCCCAGGGTTCAGGCTCCACAACCAGACCCCCCCCCCAAAAAAAAGAGAGATGACACAGATACAAGTAAGAAAATATACAAGGGCACACACAAAAGACTGCCCTACTATCACAGGCTGATTTCAGTTCTGCCTAAGGATATTATTACAACAGCATTTTAGCCAATCTCTTGCCTCTACACTCTCTGACACTCTCATCATTCCCCTAACAGCTGCTAGAAAGAGACTTCTAAAATATAAATCTGATCATGGGTTTGCTCTGCTTTAAGTCCTTCAGACACTGCCCACAATCTCCAGTCCTGTTTCTCAGGGTCAGCTCCCAGGCCATGAGTTTAAACCCCAGGAACTACACTTTACACACACACACACACACACACACACACACACACACACACACACACACACACACACACACACAGACTCATACAGACACAGGTTTTTTTTGTTTTAATAGGAAGCCAGAACATCCAAGGGTGATGTCAGGATCACAACAGTAAGGGCAAATAAAAGTAGTGTAAAATTAAATGCATGAGTGCTGAAGTTCAATGAAAGAAGAAATCTAGGCTAGGAATGTTGCTTAGTGGTAGAGTGCTTGCCTACCATGCACGAAGCCCTGGGTTTAATTCCTCAGTGTCACATAAACAGATGGTGCTGTGGCTCAAGTGGTAGATTGCTAGCCTTGAGCAATGAAGCTCATGGACAGTGCCCTGAGTTCAAACTCCAGGGCTGGCAAAAACAAAACAAAACAAAAATCTAAACAACTTCAAATAAGTTCTTTTTTTTTGTCAGTTGTGAGGCTTGAATTCTGGATCTGGATACTGTCCCTGAGCTCTACAGCTCAAGGTGAGCGCTCTACCACTTAAACCACAACACCACTTCAGGTTTTCTGGTGGTTAATTGGAATTAAGGGTCTCAAGGATTTTCCTGCCCTGGCCGACTTTAAACCATGATTCTCGGATGTCAGCCTCCTGAGTAGCTAGGTTAAGAGGCGTGAACCACTGGCGCCGGGCTCAAATAAGTTCTTATGTTCAGTTCAACCCAAGTATGTTATTCAAAGCTATTTATAGTAAGCACTAAAAGCTAAATACTAAATAGTAAAAAACTGCCCATGTCAACAATGGCCCAAGATATCCCCAAGGACCATGCTGGCTAAAGGTCTGGGACTTTAACTACTAAGTCTTCCGTTGAGCCATCAATTTATCTTCTGCTGCTTTGTTCTTTTAAGTCCCCCTGATGGAGCACCACCTTAGCTGGCCTCAGGTTGAACTTTGAGTCCAGAATCCTAACTTAAGTGACCGAGCTTGCCTGGATTCCACCCCGCTGCTTTGGTCAAGCCTCGATTCTCTAAAGGCTTTTCCTCTAGGGAGGTCCAGTCGCCAAGTTTCCATATTCCGGCCTTTTTTTTCAGGACCTTTCTTCCCAGTTTAATATCCTAGACCAACTAAACTGCTCGTTGGTAGGCATTCTCCTGTTTAAATACCCAATCGGTTTGGGACTCAAACTTCACCAAAAATATTCCTTCCTCGTTTCCCGCCCCCGCCCTCAACTCTTATTTCACCCATCGGGATTCCAGAGGTCATTTTGAATGAATGTGATTCAACAATTCTCCCACCGTGTACCCTCATATTTAAGTCACACACACCCCTCCACTCTACCGCGGCCACCTAGTGTTTTCAAGCCAAAATACAATAGGGCTAAAAGGTGGGTGCTCAACGTAGAACTAAATTGGGGATTCTTTGGAACTACAGCTCTTGGAAAATGGCTTTGCATCATACTTGCTGTTCGCTTAAGGGAAGGGCAATGTCTCCTCTAAGCAGACCTAGGAAACTTCCTCATGATGGCCGCCTCCCTTTCGTTCTTTATAATCCCCATCACCACCCGCTTTGGGGCAGGCTAGTAAAATACAGTTTCTCGTGCAAAATGCCACTTCACAATTTCGAGTTTATAAAGGATAAACGGAAACATTCTTTAGCCAACTCGGCAACGAAAAGGTTAAACTCTCTGCAACCTGACGGATTCTGGGAGTTTCCTAGCTCCACTCCAGAAAGTAAAATGACCAGGAAGGCACATTTTGCCCATGGCAAAGATGAAACCCGTTAGCTTCATTAGGTTTCAGCCCCAAACAAAAATGGCAAACCACGCTCACCAAGGCTGCCACTCACCTAACTAAAAATGGCTGGATTGACGGTTCCAGAATGGGCGTCAACGCCTGCCCGATTCCAAAATGGCGCCCGCTGGCCTCACTAAAAGGCGTTAACCTCCCAGCATCCTCCTTGGCCTTTCACGTCAAGTGACGCGACCCCAAACGGAAGTGAGGGAAAAAGCGCTTCAGCCCGCGGCGCGTGCGCAGAAGGGTCTAGACGCTGAGAGGCAGGAGGCACTTGGGATCGTCCGCAAGATTGGGACTGTTAGAGAGGCCGCCACGGAGCCCGCCGGAGCCACCGTTCCTTCTGCTGCTGCCGCCGCTGCCCGAGTTGGAAGCGTCGGGTCGCAGCCGCCGGCAATGCCGAGAAGGAAGGTAAGAAAAGGTAGAAGAAGGATGGCGGGTTTCCGAGGATAGTCGGCTGAGTGCCGTGACGCACTTGGCCACGCCTCGAAGTTGTCGGTTCTAACTTCCCGCTCCCCTGAACCTCGTTTAGCCACCCTCTCTTCTCTCGGTACCCGTCAGAAAAATGTGGGCCCGACTCTGGTCTCGGCCTACGCTCGCAACTATTCCCGCCCTCGGCTTTCCCGGATCGGAGGCGTTCTTACTGTTAATTGGCCGCTGTAACGTCTTTAAGCGTATTGATTGGCTAATGACGCCGCCTATTTGGGCCCAACGGTCACCTGCCCGCGTGCGGGGGCGGCGTCTGGACCAGGCCCGAGCTTTCCGCGACTGGTTGTAGAGAACGGTCCTCCTTCTTCTGATTGGTGATTTTTCTCAGTCTGTCCCGTGGGGAGGGCGAGATTTAGCGGGGCCTTGATTGGATGGTCCTTGTCCCGCCCTTCGGGATGCTGATAGGTTCAGAGGCGAGCTTGGGAGGCAGCTTTCCTGTCCTGGTGAGAGGTACAACAAAGCGGAGGTCTTGGTGGTGGGAAACCAGCTCCCCCTCTCGAGGGATCCTAGTTCTGATCTGAAGCAGTTAAAGCCTTCGTCCTCCACTATTTGCTTAGTTTGCCATTGTCGAAAAATGAAGATTAAACACAAGCGCGCGCGCACATACACAAACTAGAAAAGTCTTATGAGGCGACTGTGGAAAATCTTCGTCTCCTTTTTACACGCAGAGGCCGACCTGGAGTGCTTTTAGCCCGGCAGCTGCCGTGCCAGAGCCAACACTCTTACAGAACAAACGTTAGGCAAGTCAACAGATGTTTATTGACCAGTTAACTAAGTGCTGGTTGCTGGGGGATTCGGAAATTAATTAGGCATAATCCTGGCTTTAGGATATCTCAGTCTAATGGGGAAAAACAGACTTATAAATAACCTTGCAAAAATGTAGTGAATCCTCTACTTGGAGGCGTATTACAGTGTTATAGTAGGGACAGTGAAAGAGTAAGATTGGAAAAAGGTATTAGATTGGAAGTAGATTGGCAGAGACCAGAAAAGAGATGAGTTTCAGGGTCAACCCAGGTCAGAGGTCATGTATTCACCTAGCTGGGCAGTTAGACCACATGACCTTTAAGAATCTTTTATTCTGGTGATTTTTCTGTGACTCTTTACTCATATCTGTACTTATATTTGAGTATATTGACTTGTATTTGGAAAACTGGGAGATATATTGTGCTTTGAAATTTCTCTTCACAGACACTTTTACAAGTTAAATATTTGTGTTTTTAATGTATTCTACAATGGTCCCAGTTAGGCTAGAGGCATGGCTCAGCTGTAGAGAGCCTGCCTTGGAAGGTCCCCAAGGTCAGATTTCATTATGGCAAAAATAATAAAATGACTTGAATTGGTGATATTTATATTAAGGCATATCAAATGCAAACATACTATTGGTGCTATAGAATAGGTCTCCAGCCCCCCTTCCTGTGGTTTCCAAGTACAGTGAGTTCTTTAGTAACTTATTTGGTGGCAAACCTGTAGGCTACTTATATTTTTTATGTATCTCATTTAAGTTGTGTATTTTGCTCCAGAAGTAATATATTTGATTATGGCCATTACTTGAAATATGTGTGTGTGTGTGTATACACACATAAAGTGCTGTCTAATACTAAATACTGAAAAAGTTATGAATTTCAAACACATTTAATCCTGAGGGTTTTATTCTTTTGGTGAAGAATTGGGACTTGGGGGCTAGAGGCATTTAGTTCAGCGATACAGTCTACGTTACCATCCTCAAATCCTTGGGCTCAATCTCCAGTACCAAAAATAAAAAATAATTTGAAGCTTTGTAGTTTTTTTTTTAATTTTAAATTGTTATAAAATTGGTGTACAGAGGGTTTATAATTTCATAAGAGAGGTAATGAGTTCCTTTCATTTTAGACAGTGTTTCCCCCTTTGTTCTCTCCCAGTTTTTCTATCTTGTCCCCACAAGTTGTATTTTCAAAATGGTGTCTAGTGAGTACCACTGCTGCATTTATTCACCCTTATGTCCTTCCATATTTGTGCCCCTTATCCCCACCCAAAAACAGTAAAATAAACAGGATAAAAAAAAAAAAGAAAAAAAATCCTCAGGTTTGCATTTCCTGGAGTTCATATCTTCCCCCTCCCCGCCACCCTGCTCCAAGCTCTTTGCTCAAGGCTAGCACTCCACCACTGTGAGCCACAGGGCCACTTCCGGTTTTCTGGAGGTGAGAAACTAACTTATCAGTCTCATGGACTTGCCTGCCAGGGCTGCTGAATCACGATCCTCACTCAGTAGCTAGGATTATAGGCATGAGCCACCAGCACCCAGCTGGAGTTCATTTCATGTGAATATTATTTTGTATGATCAGAGGCACTGAGGCATTACACATCAGTGTTCCCCTTAGAGTATCCACCTCTGGTGTCACTGTGTGAATGCCTAGATGTAGTGTTTTTTTGCAGATAATTTTCCTTTTCACTTTATCAAAGGGCATAGTGAAACATTAGAACACCTACCTGCTCAAGCACAGAGAAAGCCCTGAGTCCAAACACTCCTACTACCCCAGAAAAGAATTATGATATTTTGAATGATGCTTTTCTTAACAACAAAAAAGTGACTTAGTTTTTTTTGTTGTTGTTATTGTTTTTTTGGGAGGGGAAAGTGCTTTTATTTAGTCTTGGTACTGATCTCCAAATGGAGTTCAGAATTAGTGATAATATTTTACATTTATTAAGCAAAGATGTCTTATTTGTAGATTGTTTCATTTAATTGCCCTAAGCAAGGGGAGTTGGCTTTGGGCAGGGAGAGAAATGCTTGTGGGATCTTTTGTTAGGCTTGAGCTTGATGTTTCCAGAATCATAGTGTTCATTTAATTCCAGTGCTAATATCTGAATCTATGTTGTTACAGAGGAATGCAGGCAGTAGTTCAGATGGAACCGAAGATTCCGATTTTTCTACAGATCTTGAGCACACAGACAGTTCAGAAAGTGATGGCACATCGCGCAGATCTGCCCGAGTTACCCGCTCCTCAGCTAGGTTAAGCCAGAGTTCTCAAGGTAAAAGTGTTTGTTTTTCTTGACTAGTACTCACAGCAGATTAATTGGTCATATCATGTTAGCTAATATGCAAATTGCTCTTTGGAATGGTATAGATGCCATAATCTAGCAAATTAAAGGGCAAATACAGAAGTGTCAAGTATTTAAAAAAGTTTCTGTTAGATTCAGTTCCAGTTCCAATTTGTATATCCCCCTTTCTTTTTTCTTTCTTTTTTTTGGGGGGGGGCTTGGTTATGGGGCTTGAACTCTGGGCCTGGGCACTGTCCCTGAACTCTTCATCTCAAGGCCTGGGCCCTATCACTTGAGCTACAGTGCCACTTCCAGTTTTCTGGTGGTTAATTGGAGGTAAGAGTCTCACAGACTTTCCTGCCCTGGCTGGCTTTGAACTACGATTCTCAGATCTCAGCCTCCTGAGTAGCATGAGCCACCAGCGCTTGGCTAAACCCTGTCTCTCCCCCCCCACCCCTTTTTTTGTGCAAATTCTTTATTAAGTGATTACATAATTTCACAAATTTCACAGTATTGTGGGATAGTGATACTTAGTTAAAGTCACAAACACATTCTAACTTTCATGGGGCAAAGTGTCTATCGTGATCTATAAAGTTTATGAGTTCTATAAACTTTGACAATACAATTATTTCTTCCACATTGGATGATATGTTAATTTCTTCCCTTTTGCATAGTGTCAACTGTTCCCTCTTTCCCACCCGTTCCCACCCTCCCATCACTGCCATTGAGTTGCTTAGTTCATTTTGATCAATGTCCATTGCAGCTGATGTGTTCCACTGTTGTATGTTTTTCCTGATTCCCTCTAGTTCTGTGTCCTCCTCCTAGTTTCCCTCCAGTGTGCACATATATACCATATATGTGATCAGATGAGTGGAGGTCATTTGTTTCTTAAGTCTTGTTAACTTTGTTGTATCACCTTATGTTTTGGATTTAACATCCACTTATCAAGGAGATCATGTGCTGTTTGTCTCTTTGCTCTTGGTTTATCTCACTAAACATGATTTCTTCTAGTTCCATCCATTTTCCTGCAAATGCCATTATTTTCTCCTTTCTAATGGCTGCATAATATTCCATTGTGCATTGTGTATAGATACCATAATTTTTGGATCCATTCATCTATGGTGGGGCATCTGGGTTGTTTCCATGTCCTGGCTATTGTTAACAGTCTTGCAATAAACATGGAGGTGCATGTGTCCTTGTATATTGGTTTCTGTTGTTCAGGATAGATGCCTAGAAGTGGTATGGCTGGGTCATAGGGGAGGTCTATATTTAGCTTTCTGAGGACCCTCCACACTGCTTTCCAAAGTTAACCCCCCTTTCTTTTTTTTTTTGAGGGGGGTGGTCCAGTCGTGGGGCCTGAACTCTGGGCCTGGGTGCTGTCCCTCAGCTCTTCAGCTCAAGGCTAGTGCTCTACCACTTGAGCCACAGCGCCACTTCCG